GCTGGTGTGTTCACGGGCACCAGGACCCGGATGGTGAGTCTCTCGCCGTGTACGCCCCGACCCCCCAATCGGAAAGCATCATGGCGACGCTCCAGATCGTCGCGTCCATGGGGTGGCGTCTGCACGTTGCGGACGCCAAACACGCGTTCTGCCAATCGGACCGCCTCCGCAGGCCCAACGGGGCCATTTACGTGGAGCCCTGCCAGGGGCTCAGCATCCCCTCGGGGCAACTCATAGAACTCGTGGCCCCCGTGTACGGTCTTAACGATGCGCCGCTGATGTGGCACCGCACCCTGACTGAATGGCTGGGCAGCCAAGGTTTCACCAAGTCGCTGCTGGAACCTTGTTTGTGGGTCAAGCGCGGGAAGCTCGACCGGCTCGAGGCCCTAGTTTTAATAGAAGTGGACGATCTCATCGTCTCTGGTCGGGATGACGTGATGGGACCTTTGAGGGACGCTATGTGTAGGCGCTTTCACTTTGGCAAGTGGAAAGAGAGCGAGTCTGAGTATGCGGGCCGGAGGGTCGTGCAGCACGCCGACCGCATCACGGTTGATCAGGAGAAGTATATACGTGAGCAACTGAGTCAGATGCATCTACATCGAGAGAGGCGAGCTAGTCCTGAGCTGCCTCTCTCAAAGGATGAGATCTCGTCATATCGCACTGTCGTTGCTCAGGTGCAGTGGCTGGCGCGCGAGAGCCGCCCGGACGTGGCCGGTAGTGCTTCCCTCTTAGCTGCTGCTCTCCCTTCTCCCCTGGTCTCCGATGCTCTCGTCCTGTCGAAAGTGGTTAAGTTTCTCAAGGGCTCCTGCGAGCAAAAACTCACCCTCTGGTCCCTGGACCCGGTGTCCCTCACTTTCGTTACCGCGAGCGATTCGGGAGGCCCGGGAACCGCTCGGCGAGGCGGAGCGCAGGGAGCGTGGATCGTCATGGCTGCGGACGGTGGCATTCGCCAGAACAAACGATCGAAAGTAAGTGTGCTGTCTTGGCGTTCCCAGAGAATAAAGAGAGCCGTCGCCAGCACAGTGGCGGCGGAGACGCTAGCCCTGTCCGCGGCCACGGCCGAGGCCCAGTGGTTGCAAGTCCTGTTTAGGGACGCTGTTTTAAACGATGTCTCGAGGCCCGATTGGTTCAACGGGCAGGCTCCGTTTACGGTCGTGATGTCCCAAGATTGTCAACTTAGCGAGGCGGCCTCGTGCCTCTCTGTCGTTGACGCGAAATCAGTGTTTGACACTCTCTCCCGTAACTCTGCCGGCTCGAGAGCCGATAGGCGAAATGCTATCGAACTTGCCGTGATTCGAGACGCCCTGTGTTCGATAGGTCCCCAAGTGCGGTGGATGCCACACGCTAGGATGCCTGCGGATCCGCTGACCAGAAATGGACCCGTCCCGCGGCAATCTGGCATTGCATGACTTGCTTTGCAGGGGAACCCTGTCCCTGGTGGACGAACACGGCCACTTGACGGAGAGGGCCTTCAACGAGGCCCTAAAGAGCAGGTCCCGCGGGGCCAGTAGGCGCGCCCTCGAGCTAGCAGCTAAGGTCGAGTCCCCGAAGATCGAGTCAGCTGAGGTGAGGAGGGGCCCAGGGCTCCCCGAGGTAGAGGAGGAAGAGGAGGAGGGGGAGGTAGAGGAAGAGGAGGAGCGCCCAGGAGGAGACAGCACGAGTGAGGTGAGGGGCGGAGGAGGAGAAGGAGGAGGAGGAGGAGGAGGAGGAGGAGGAGGAGGCCCAGCGCGCGGGCGACCGCAGACACCCGCGCGCCAGATCCCGGCCTACGTCAGCATGGAGGCCGGGGCGCCCAGCATGGAGGCCGGGGCGCCCGGCCGCCTGGCGGGAGCGAGCCTCGAGCTCGCTAAACCCGCCAAAGTTTGGCCCGCTGTCCCCCTCGGGCCCCGGGGCCCGGGTCCCGGAGGTCCGTGGGGTCCCGGTGGCCCTCTGGCCCTTGAGGGCCCCGGTCCCTCTTTCTCGACCTCCCCTCTCCCGCTCTCCAGGTTCAGCTGCGGGTTAGGGCTCGGACTTCTTCCGTAGCCCTTTGGGCTTAGGCTGCGCGCCTGGCGCTTAGCAAAACACATCCCCCCTCCTTCGCCCCCTTTCCACGCCTCCTGCCGTGCTCTCAGCTTGGGGCAGTCTCACTGGCACCGCCCGCATGCGTCCGCCACCACCCAGCACAGCCCTTGCTCCTTGCTTTTCACCCATCCAGCACAGCGCTTCGTGGCCCCATAAAGGGGGTTCCACTGAAGGTCTCAGTGGCGCCGCCCGCATGCGTCCGCCACCACCCAGCACAGCCCTTGCTCCCTGCGTTTCACCCACCCAGTACAGCGTTGCGTGGCCCCATAAAGGGGGCCCCACCCAAGGTCCCAGCGGCGCCGCCCGCATGCGTCCGCCACCACGCAGCACAGCCCTTGCTCCCTGCGTTTCACCCACCCAGTACAGCGGTTCGTGGCCCCATAAGGGAGCTCCACCGAAGGTCCCAGTGGCACCGCCCGCGTGCGTCCGCCACCACCCAACACAGCCCTTGCTCCCTGCGTTTCGCCCACCTTGTGCAGCATTTCGTGGCCCCATAGGGAGCGCCACCGAAGGTCCCAGTGGCAAAGTTCGCATGCGTCCCCCCCGCCCAGTACAGCGCTTCGTGGCCCATTGGGAGTTCCACCGACGACGATGCCCACAACTGCGGCACTTACAACTGCATCTGGTTGGGTCCTTCGCTAGGCTAATTTACGATCCCCCCCTGGACCCCCAACTTTCTCATCCCCAGGGGGCTATTATCGCGAGCGCTGGGCTATTTTTCCTATTTGGTTTTTTCGGTGCGGGGTCCCCGGAAGTCTGGGCCCCTGCTCCAGTGGTTGGGCGTCGCGTCATGGGAGGGCCATAGTTGGGGGGGGTGGCGCGGGTGGTCCGAAAAGGTACCCAAACGGTAACTAAACGAGCCCCCTGGGGCTCCGGAGGAGCCCGAAAAGGGCAGGAAAGGGGACCGTTTCCGACCCCCCTTTTCTCGGCGTCACCCCAACAGATTTATACTACATGTACGTCGCCCCCCCAGGGGCGACGCGCGCACCGAGAAATCTTATAGTATATGTGTCGCGGCGGGCGCTTTCTGGCCACACCGCTCGGGAAACGATGTACTGCAAGATGGGTATACCATATGGTCGGGTCGGACGCGCGCTGCCAAGGAGAACATCTACTACTAGTATGTCTCTGTGCGTCCCAATCTATGATCCCCCTATTCAGCCACGCCCAATCCAGGGCTGGCTCTTAATCCCGAGGCGGTTTCCGACGGCCCCAGGACCCGGCGAGGGCCGCCAGCGGCATAATATTACGATGAAGTCGGGCGTGTCCCTCTACAGGAGGAGTATTAAAAAATGGTAAATTACCCCAGTGCGACCCTACCTAGAAGTTGGAGCCCCTAGGAAAGCAGCATTAGTTGCTATGCTATGCCATGCCATGCCATGCTATGCTGCGCTATGCTATGCTATACTATGCTCTGCTATGCTGCGCTATGCTATGCTATGCTATGCTATGCTATGCAAAGCTCAGCTATGCTATGTCATGATGCGCTGTGCTATGCTAAGCTATGCTATGCTATACTATGCTATGCTAAGCTGCGCTATGCTATGCCATGCCATGCTATGCTGCGCTGTGCTATGATGTGCTGTGCTGTGCTGCGCTATGCTATGCTATGCTATGCTGCGCTATGCTATGCTATGCTGGGCTATGCTATGATATGCTATGCTGCGTTATGTTATGCTACGCTATGCTATGCTGTGCTCTGCTATGCTAAAGCTCAGCGAAGCTAAGATGAAGGTAAGCTAAGCTAATCATATTATCATGCTATGATATGCGATGCTGCGCTATGTTATGCTACGCTATGCTATGCTGTGCTGTGCTCTGCTATGCTAGAGTTCAGCGAAACTAAGACGAAGGTAAGATAGCTAATATAAACCTGAGCAATGCTGAACCTAAGCTACGCTAGGATGAACTAAGCTCAGCTAAGATGAGATAAGCAACGTAAGCTAAAGGGACGTAGCTGGGGGAACCGCGGGGCGGATACTGGGGGAACCGCCCGGGGCGAGGACCACTGCCCGGCCCTTTAAGCATACCGAGTAAGAACCCTTCTAGGCAGAGCCTAGGTCGGGAAAAAATAGTCTGGGGAGGATTCGTTGCGTATGTTTTGATCATTTTGGCGTATTTTTTTTGGGGGGGGGGTTTTCCTTTTTCGCCCAAGATCCGCCTGTAGGGGGACATGCCCGACCTAACACTCCGAATCATTTCCGCTTCGTTTGTGTCTCAACGCGTTGGTGGGTCCTTTCTCCCGCCCTCCCTTCCAGTCGGCAGAGAGCGGTGGGGGGGAAGGAGAAGGCCTCCTTGGAAGGCGGCGGGGCTTCTCAGAAGCCCTCGCGCCTTTCTGATAGGCTTCCTGTCTTCGGCGCCACCCCAACATACTTATACTATTTGTGCGTCGCCCCCCAGGGGCGACGCGCGCACCGAGGAATCTTATAGCATATGCGTCTTGGCGGGCGCTTTCTGGCCACACCGCTCGGGACACGAGGTACTGCAGGATGGACATACTATATATGTTCGGGTCGGACGCTCGCCTCCAAGGAACACATGCAGTACCAGCATGTCTCTGCGCGCCCCATGCCTCTTCGGGGAGGGCCGCGGAGACTTCTCGCCAGGCAGGGGGACTTCAGAGCCTCCCAAGGAGGAGGAGGAGGAGGAGGAGGAGGAGGAGGAGGAGGAGGAGGAGGAGGGGAGGAGGAGGAGGAGGAGGGGAGGGGAGGAGTAGGGGGAGGAGGAGGGAGGAGGGAGGAGGAGGGAGGAGGAGGAGGAGGAGAGGAGGAGGAGGAGGGAGGAGGAGGAGGATAGGGGGAGGAGGAGGGAGGAGGAGGAGGAGGAGGAGAGGAGGAGGGGAGGAGGAGGAGGAGGAGGAGGAGGAGGAGGAGGAGGAGGAGGAGGAGGCCCGCCCCTTCTCTCGCTTCCCCCCACCCCCGGGCCCGCCGCCGCTCCAG